AAATACAAAAGGCTGGAATTACAAGGGAGAGTTTCAAAGTTCGGGGGAATAATATCCGATTAGTATATACTGGGTAGAACGTCGATGTCGACGTCTCCCGCGTTCCGAAAAGTTTCGAATTGTTGCCTAAAGACAAAGGAAGACCAATCGGTATTTGTTATTTTACGTCACTTCTTGTGTTTGTTCAGTGAAGTGTTCGTTATCCGAACATATGTTCGTTGTCCGATCATAAAAATCTTTCGCGAAAGTGTTTGTTATCCGATTTGTTCGTTAACCGATCACCCACTGTATTTATAAACAATTTTAAAGTACATTTACAGAATTTCAGATTACTTTTATTCATTTTTTTCTACCTTTGAATACTTTTGACTGTTCATTTCACCACTTGAGAAAGGCACCTCATTGCCTCAACTATCTAGCTATCACTGACTTTGAGACTTTTCAGCCATTCTTGGAGTTTGGTATCCTCAAAAATGGGTTTTCCAGCCTAATCATTAACAATACCTAGTAGTAGTAGTAGTAGTAGAAGTTTACATGTTAATCTCCAGAAGCACAGAGATAAGTGCATGAACGTGACAATTCCAAAAGTAGACCGACACATTACATCTAATACATCTAATCTCCCTTCGTAAAGAAAAATAATAATATATTTTTTAATTCTTTCTGCCCTGTGACCCCTAAGAGAGCCTTTTTTAGCAAACCATTATGAGTTTGTCCAGGCCCACAATAGGGCAGATAAGGGATGGTGCCCAACATATCTGGCCATTCAGACATCTGGCTGTCATATTATAACTTCTATAACAATAATCTGACTAAAATTTTATTCAAAACTGCTCATGAATTTATAGTTCCTTATCAGTTTTAATTAGGATCGTAGATACAGTAACTTCTATTAAACAATTTTTAAAATTTTTGAGAAAAAAAATTGAATAATCATAATTTTAAATAATTTTTTGGTATATTTTCAAAATAAATTTGGCTCCTTTTAAAATTTTCCATTTAAGCAATTATCTGTTTATTTTATTTGCAACTTATACGATTCTACAAGAAATATTTGTTATCTCGTCGTGCAAACACTTCATGTTCAAATCACGTGGTGAAATCGTTAGTCACGTGCTACGATCGGCATCCAGGTGTTACTCGAAGACATACAGCAAACAAACATGCCTACAGTTTTCAAGTGAATATTTTTCGGAAAATAATTTAGTAAATTATATTAATAAATCGAATTTAAAAACTGTGTTAATGTATGCTAGGTCAGTGTCAATATTTTACCAATTGTAAACATATTTTCCAGGCAAATACATAGCAGTACATAAGAAAATCCCTTGCACGACTGAATAAAACACGGTAGAAAACGAATTAATTTATTTTTTTGGCAATTTTAAGCATACAAATATACAAATATCTCGCTTTCCAGCTAATTAAATTCTAAGAATTGTTTCGTAAGACGTCTGAATTTCATATTGCAGTGCGGCCACCATTCAGGATTTACGAATTCCTTCTTTAAATTAAATATTCCAAAATCATACAACTAATAAAACGACATTAAATAATATGATGAAACGTTTATCAGACGAATTAACATATAATTTATCTAATGATAAAAGATCGTCTAATTTACATGCATAATATCACCCAATAAATCTTCAAGGAACATCTGTTATGCACGGAACAAAGCAAGAAGACCGTACGGTGTAATATAATAATAAATATTAACTTTGGACGAGTATAACACGACAACATAATTACCCCATTCTTCTAAAATGAAGACAAATTATTTAAAAATATATATAAATGAATGTCAAAACTCGGTTAAAAATGACCTTTCCTCCCCCTCCCTTCTAAATGTCACGTTAAATTATGCGAATTATTCGCGCTGAAATGAAAGAAATTGGTCTAAAATTTAATTAATTTACTTCATAAACATTAACTCGTTAAGTTTATATACGAGTAAATTAAACTGTAATCTCGGTAAATGTACTTTAAAGCTAATTAGATTGGAAGTTCGGATGAGTTTTTAAATGTCGATTTATATTTATAATAATTTTTGTACATTCGGAATGGCACGCCGAGTGGTTAACTAATTTTCTGAACTTCTACGGAAAATTTTATGCAGCATCACGTACCAACTGATAAAACTCAAGGCCATCCAGTAGACTGATCAATAAAGGTGCAGATAGGGCAACAGCCTTCTCTATATAACACAATAAAGTAATGGAAAAAAATCTTAATAACAGGTGATAGCCTATAGAACAAGATAAACATTAAAATCCGCTACAGGAAGAAAGCTGGAGGGAGATAAACTGCATCAATCAACCCATTAATAAAGCCATGTAAAAATCTATAAATTATAATTTTTTCTGTAATATCTTCCTTAAGTGATATAGTCAAGTACTTCAACATCGAATTTAGACTATTAAGTTACCGTTTCGTAACGGAAAGAACGAGGAAAAATAAATAAAATTGCTATCTGGAGTCATGTGGGTGTCTTATGACGTTAAATAAATCGATCAGTCGGATCGGACACGAAAATACATCATTAGAGATCGATTATTAATGGTTCGACTGATTGATCGGCACTCTACACTTTTAACTATCGCATAAACGTCGTAAGTAATGAATCATTAAAGAGCATCGATCGGAATTCACTCGAAATATATCAAAAATTAAGTGATTAATTCGAAGTCCAGTGAACTTAGATTATTATCCGGCGAGTGGAGTGAATGAAACGTATCCAGTTTCGTTTATTTACGGGATTACAAGAAAACGATTCTGTATGGGGAATGGCTTTAACTAAATTAACGGTGATAGAAATAGCACACGAGCTCTTATTTTAACGGGAGAAAGTGAGAAGTGTGCTAATGTAAATGCAGAGATAAAATGTGTGCATTCTCAACACATCCCACTGTAGAATTTCAGATAAATGTTTATAGATGAATTATCAAATCAGAACGGGGGAAAAAAGAAAGAAAAAAAAATGCTAATGTGTAGGGTGTGGCAAGAAGCCCATTAGCTCGCATTTGGATTGAATACGAAAAACACAGGTCTACGTATATACATATTTTCTTTTTATTAGTCATTCTGAAATTTTGTAACCATTAGCGATGAGCTGGTAGTCGAAAATAATATTTTTATTACTTATAATTAATATATATTAAAGCAATATTTATCTCTACACAACTGGAGACGTGCAGCAGCACTCCTACTTTATCCTCGACTTTGATANCTTTAATCACATAATTTTTTCATTGCATTAATTTACTCAGGTATTTGGATAAAATCCAAAGAATAATAATGAGAAAGTAAAAAATATTTATACATTTCTGTAAGATTCTAAACTTTACTCTGTTTAAAGCACCCTTGAAACATTCAAAATACATTCAAAAATACAAAAACAAAATTAATTTTTCTCTATCAATGTTTCTGATATATATTTATAATTTTATTTAAAGAAATGTGTATGGTATTTACATTTAAATTACATTTTTTTATTATGCTAATATAGCCTTAGTAAGGTCACTATAACCAGTCTCTTGGTAGCCAACCTTGAAAATGGGGAGTATCTGAACAACAAACTGTGTAACAAACTATGATATCATCTATTACTATTATTACTGTTATGTAAAATAGAGCAAACTAGTTTAAAATAAAACAGGACTTTATATTGAGTTAGAATTTGAAGAATTATAAATATAAATTTCGTCAGTAGGTTTGGAAGTTATCTAAAATACATATTTGTTTATTAGTGCAAAAATTTAAAAATAATATTTTAAAACTGATAAATGTCATAAAAATTTCAAGTAAATTTTAATTCAGAAATAAATATTTGTCCATTCTTATCTTGAAAGTGGGAACAATAATAATTTTAGTCATGTGTAACATGCACGCAAACCGGATATGTACTATTTTACCTTATACAAAAATTTTCTATGATCAAACTAGAGCAATTATTCCAATAATAATAAGCATTTCTAAACTAAAATATTAATAATGTAAGTAATTTAATTTATAAATCTGAAATGACTTCTCAGTTAAAGAAGTCCTGAATTAGATATTGGATAGACATTTGTTTAATCTGTAACAAAAAGATTGTCAAAAGGATGATTAAAACTCCAGCTTGGTAGTTGCCTACGAGGAAAGATCAGCTTACACATTTAATGTATATACCTTTTCCTGTAAGTCCCTTTGCCTGTATGTACTGTACAGTCCATGTACAGTGTAAAAAAAGGCAAAAATGTACATGAACATGTACAGTGTAAAAACATGCAAAAATGTACATGAACATGTACAGTTTCATCACTATGAAACTAACTCAAATTAAAACATTTAAAAAAAAATATTTTAATGAAAATATGACATGCAGCTTTGTGTTTTACTAATACATAATTATTATTCTATGCTTTTGATGAAAGTTCGTTGACGGCAAAGATAAAAACTTTGGTTGTGATGGCTGTCTATAAGGAAAAGTCTGTCATTAATGCATATTTTTGTCATCATGAAAAATAACTTATCACATTAAAATGCTAGAATTTGAATATTTTAGGGAAAAAAAATCTGAAGGCAAGTCAAATTTTAAAAACATTTACCCGCTATTTAATTTGAGATAATTTAATTAATGAAGAATTTTTTCGGGCTTTTAAACTAGTAAAGAGCCAAAAGAAGGTTCAATCTCAAAACACGTATAATTCCATTCATTAATAATAAGCTAATAAATCATTTTATTATAACGAAAACTTTGTATAGTATATAAAAACATTTTATAAATAAATTTTAAAATTACTCTACAAACAATTTATTAATACAGAAAAACTAATCAATTAAAATTATTCATAACAACATTTCAAGAATATAAAAAAGAAAAGCTTCATTTTAATTAATAAAAATTTATTTATTATCCAGTATATAAAAAGCATTTTCAATGAAAAATGTATAAAACATAAAGCAATAACATTTCGAGTTATTATTATTTAAATATCAGTACAGATGTAATTACTAACCTGGTTCCAGTTTGATGATCTTAACGGCTGCCGGCTCGTTGACTGAAAACCTTCGTGCCTAATGAAAATCGAAATAAAATTTCATGCAATGCAGAATTTTACATTATAGTTTATATTTTAAGAAATAAAAAACAAATTACGTGTATTTTACATTTTAAATATTTTTATTAATTAATCGGTAACCAATTGACAGTTTTATTCTCCAGAATTGTCTTAAGTAGCATTTTATCTTGATGTATAAAATAAATTAAATCAATCATTTATTGATTACACTTAACTGATTATAGATCAGAATAATATCTAAAATTTAATCATATTAAAACTAATTTATTCTGTAAGACTCAATTTATAAGCACAAACCCCAGGAAATATGAAAATAAAACTACAAAATAATCTAAAATAAATAAAAACTATGCCTGTTGAATAATTCATTTATTTTAATTTACCAAGTCTAAATATGCGGCCCAATTTTAATTTGATGAATTTGATATTAATTTCCATTTAATACATCTGATTTTCCTATGTATTTTTTCACATGGTACAGTTAGATTCCTCGGTTTATGGTACATAGATACAATTTATTAAAGCACAGATCTGTCTCATCTATGTGCTTTGTTCAGAGGTTTTTGTCTTAAAGATTAAAATTCTTGGTTAATATGGACAAAAAGCATCATTTCTGTCATATGTAAGTGAAAGATCACGTACTCATGTAATTGAATATGCTTAAACTAGAATTTGAGTTGAATTATATAAAGAGCATTTGTGATGATCCTGTAACAACCAAATTCACTTCTCTATGGAAAGAGGAGAAGAAACTAACTTTTGCCATCCTTGCTTCCAGAAACGTTGCTAATGGAGTACCACTTCTAGCACTGGCACTCTTATATGAACTACAGTGGGTGATCAGTTAACGAACATAATCCGTTCCAAGACTTTGTTTGCTATCTGAATTGTTCGTTAACCGATTATCGATTTAACATAGGTTTCTATGGGAATTTGATTAATTCGTTCTGGAGACCCCCAAAAATAAAAAAAGTATATACTTTTTTACTACGTTTATTCATATGTAATAATAAAAATACATATATACACGGTCTTGCATTTTTATTAGTCATGTTTTTTCTGTTTGTGGGGGTTAAAGAATCTATCCAATGTCAATTGCTTTTCTGTCTTATTCATGATTTTTCAGAAGTAATTAATAGCATTGTAATTGTAGAGATCCCTAGGCCTATTAACCTCAACTTGATTTGGATGCCATTTTAAGACCGTTGTTCTGACATC